ATATAGTACTCCTATATTCCTAACTCTGTAGGTATAATCCACTGTCTATGTGCGACACGCGACGCGTGATATCCAATGAACATATGCTATTTCGGAAAATCTGTACGCTTATTGTATATTGCGCATTGAGGATCGCATTGCATATCACAGCTATCGCGCTGGTCTGAGCTAGCCTTATGTTCCTAAATATTATTATTGTAACAGACAAGCGTTTTGCTACGATGTCGTTGATTAGTCATCGCAGCAAACGTTTTCTGTGCAGCAGACAACTTGGTAGCAAGTACAGTTACAGCAAACCGTATTTAGCTGTGATAGACATTATTTTCTTTTACACGGACATATCCGATAGCTACGACAACTAATTGCATATTGCTAAATAAATTGACTATAACAGACATGCATATTTTGCTATCATTTCCATATATTAGCTACAGCAGCAAACCTTTTGTATATATTAGCGAATTTCGTGGCTACTGCAGCTAATACCATTTCAGCTAATCAGAATTAGCTGTCGCAGAAATATTTTTCTTTTCCGTGTACGAATACAAATTTATTCTCAAAACAAATGACTTTGCTACGTGTGAGAAATCTTTTACAAAGCGCCGAAAGTAACTTGCCAAACTCACAAAGCGGTGAACATCTTTCGAGTTCCTCGAAATCGGATAGTTTAATATGGTCTCTACATTTTCATTGCTCAGACGAATGCCGTCTTGGTTTACAATATATCCTAGGTATTTACGTGACATTTATGTGACCGTGCGTAATGTAACAACAACTTATCATGTTTTCACTTTGGTAGGTGCTCAAAATGGCCCCCTTCCATTCTCTCACAAAGTATAGCCCTGTCTAAGATTGCGCTACGTACCCGGCGCAAGATCTCTGGACTTATTGTACGGCAAGCTCGTACAATTCTTTCCTTGAAATCTTGAACGCTAACAGGTCGCGTTGCGTATACTTGCTCTTTTAGATGACCCCACAGAAAAAAGTCAAGTGGTGTGAGATCTGGTGAACGCGGTGGCCATTCGTGGAGACCGTGAAGACCGATCCAACGCCTACCGAACTTCTTATTTAACAAATCTCTTGTCGCCTTGGCGGTGTGTGCAGGATGGCCATCCTGCTGGAACCACATGTTAACACGTGATTCCAGTGGCACCTCATCCAACAAGTCGACAAGCTTGTCTCGTAGAAAGTTTCGGTACCCTTCGCCATCGACCCTACCATCAATAAAATGTGGCCCAATGATGTGGTCCCCGAGAATGCCCGCCCAAACATTCACCGACCACCTGACTTGACTGTTTGCTTGCCGCATCCAGTGAGGATTCTCGGTGGCCCAGTAATGTAAGTTGTGGCGGTCGACGATGCCATTGACTGTCGCCGAAGATGAGGCTCGCGTCCACACCGGGAACACGGTCCGCAAAGTGACGAGGCGGCGAACTCGGCCACCCCGTCCCCCCAAACCAAGACACAGTTGCCGTACTGCGGGCAAGAGTAATAGAGTGACGAGACGTCGTGTTACGGCCGTCCCGCACTCCCCAGCCACCACGACAGCGAGACGGCGCGCACGCGAGGTACAATGGCGGAAGGCCCGAATGGCCGTTGTCACCCTACGTTGCCCCTACCCCCCGCGGACGCCCCACAATTACCTTTGTCCTTCCCGAACCTGTCTCTTCCCGATTTTCTCGCTCGCTCGCTCGCGACTACGCCTCTCAGCGTAACGGCAGGATCCGCACCCTCACGCGAACGGCAGGGCGCTCGCTCTCTTCCAGTGGCAGGATCCGCGTTCTCTCCCAAGTCAGAGACCCTGCTCAGGCGATCCTGCCTTTGCAAGGACTCGACGATGCCATTATTTATGAAAAGTACATTCATCCGAAAATAAAATGTACTTTGTGAAATAATAATTTTCCTCACTTACATCAAGGAGCTACCGACAATATCTCATTCTGCGAGCTTCATCATTATTATGCAGCTCTTGAGTCAGGGTAACTTTGTAAGGATGAAAGTGAGCCGCTTTTAAAGCCTTACATACCGTTGCCTAGCAAACTCCTACATCCCGTGCGATGGTCCGTGTACTGACATTTGGATTGTCAGTAACCATTTGTATTATGGGCGTAGTATCTACGCGTGGAGTTCGCCCTGTGTGAAAAAAGCACTGAATGTAATGATAAAAAGACACAATATTTAAAATTGTATTATCAGAAAATCTTATAAAATATGTACCTGAAGGCTTAGTAGGTCTAAATTGTCCATGTGCTCGCAAACGCGCTGCCAGCCTCATAAAAACTGTATGATCTGGCTTTCTGCGTTCCGGGTATGTACGAGCATAAACACTCGCAGCTACTCGCGGTCGTTCGTTGCACTTCCCAAATATCATCATCATATCGAACATTTCACTATTCGTAAGAACCATCTTGGCAACTAACGTGTTCCACGAGATGCGGTACCGAAGTGAGCTGAGACCAGAAATGCTACGAACAAATGAACGTCAATCTTCTGATTTTCAATTGTTTCGTCATAGCAGACTGTTCGTTCTTTACGTATAATTAGATTTGAAATAAAGTGGGTGAACTTGGGGGGGGGGGAATAGAGAATTTAAGTCATGAAGAAGCATTTCGATCTGATCGAAAGTTTCCTTCTTTTGAAGGTTCTAACTAAATTCCAGTATAATGAGATTTCGTCATATGAATGTTTATACATTATATATGTTTCCAAGCAGTATCTACAGTTTACTGCGGGTGTGCCATTTATAAGCGTCGTGTGGCATCTATGGCAACACGTTTTTGTCGTTTCGATGAATTGTACAAGCGCACACAGGCTGTGCAATGCGGTCGTGGAAATGTAGTTGTTGGGCCTTTCCTGAAGTATATAGCAAACGTACAAATTATTCACATCGAAATACATGAGGCACTTGTACGTGGATGGTAGCGAAGAATCATATGACACTATGTATTTATTGTTGGCTTGCGCGTATCTGTTTGAGCATTGACTCAAGCCCCCCGCGTATACCACGTTCCACAAACATGACCATGTTTTAATATCAGACGGGACTGTTTTACGCGCGTGCGAAGGAACAAATTCTTCTTTAATTAGGCTGATCGGTGAACCGGAATCAACTAGGGCGTAAATCTTAAAAAGACAACTATTACCGGATTCATCGACTACTGAGTATTCTAATGGAATAATATGTGGCTTGTCACCGGATTCGTCCGCCTGTACGACGTTAATGGTGCTTCCAATGGTGGGTCGATCCTTCGGCTCCGTTTGGCAGTTTTTGATCTGGTGTTCCTTGCTGCCACACCGGAAGCACGACCCTTTCTCGCGCACCGCGGGATGACGGCACGTCGTCGACAGGTGACCTTCTTCGCCACACCTTCTGACCGTTTAACTTTAAAATTTATATAATTTTACATCTGTGTTAACGTTTGCAACGCTTCGCGATGCAAGTTACTCGAGCAGTAGGGAAAACAATGCAGAAAATAGGTCAATTTTCTAAGTTTGCGGCTAATATCAGCATAAATTCACATGTATCACTGTAACGTGGCTATCCCCTGTAGCACCGAATTCGATCGCGACGAGGTGTCTCATCCTTCGTTGACCTTGATGACTCGGTTTTGTCCTCTCGGGCTGTGGACGTGGATGACATTGCTTGAATTGCTCGCGTTGCTTTCTCTTGTTGAGGGCCTTGGATCCTTGTCTCGGCGGCCCCTATCCTGTTGAGGCATTCGTGTATTACAGTCGTGGGCCCCTCGCTCCGGTCGGTCCTCGGTCGCGACCCGGGGTGTGGGCGCAGGTTGGCGGGCTACCTCTTCACGACGGCGGCTCGTCGCGGTCGGTGGGTCCCCGTGCGCCACTCGATCCACTCTTCTGATCCACATCTGGACGTTGTCGTCCTCTCCTCCGGCGAATTCCGGAATCTGCGTGGCCAGTATTTTCACCGAGTTCCCGGAGGAGGACATCTCCGATGCTCTCGGCTGCGAGGCTCGGCCGTTCGGTGAATTCGGGGCCGATCCTGTTGCCGGGTCCGTTCCGTCGGCCGACCGCGATGTCCCCCTCCTTCGTCTGGGTCTCTGCGTCCCGATACCGCGTGGTCCGACGCACCTCTTGCCGCTCGGTTTGTGTCGCGACGTCTCAGCCGTGGGCCCCCGGACGATCCGTCTGGGAGCCGCGGCTTCTTCGGGGAGTCGGCGCCGTCTCAGTCCCCTCCTCCCTCTGTTCCGGCCAGTCGTGGATGGTCACGTTACTGCGCCCCTCGTTCCGCCTCCACCGGCGGACCATCTCCTCCCTGAGGGCCCCCCGGGTACTCCTGGAGGATCCACCGGTAGAGGGGACCCCACCGTCGATTAAATTCGTCGCGCCCCTCCATCCCGCAGCCTTGCTCCAGTGGCCCAGTCGGTCGTTCCGGCAGCGCGGGCGAGCCGTCAGTATAATATGATCGGCGTATTGTATAATCTGGGAGTCCTGATCCATATGAAGGTGGAGATTTTTAACATATATGTTGAATAAGGCGGGACTTAGAATAGATCCCTGCGGGGTACCTTTGAAAGAGTGGAAACGGTTTGTTAGGGAACCGTCGTGTACGAAATAGATTTCTTTACGTATAATTAGATTTGAAATAAAGTGGGTGAACTTGGGGGGGGGGGGATAGAGAATTCAAGTCATGAAGAAGCATTTCGATCTGATCGAAAGTTTCCTTCTTTTGAAGGTACTAACTAAATTCCAGTATAATGAGGTTTCGTCATGTGAATGTTTATACATTATATATGTTTCCAAGCAGTCTCTACAGTTTACTGCGGGTGTGTCATTCATAAGCGTCGTGTGGCATCTATGGCAACACGTTTTTGTTGTTTCGATGAATTGTACAAGCGCACAGCGTATCCGAGAGGTCAGGAACTCCTCAAGCTTCTCGAACGTTGGATATTCGCGCGTGGCGCCAACCGCGTTTTCCCATTGCTCGCGTGTAACGCGATCAAGGAGTCGCGTGACCTGATAGACCACGGCACAGTCCCCCAGCTTCTCCTTGACCTCGAGGGCCTCCAGTGCCTTGAGAGCTTCCTTTACCCCTGAGACGAGCTTGTCCAAGGCTGCCGCCTTCCTCGGCACCGGTGTTGAGCTGGCGAAGATCTTGTCTAGACAGGAATGGATGAGCAGTCTTTTATTCTCATACCTGTCCTTGAGAAGATCCCATGACGGTGTGAGCGAGTCTCCGGTCATTGAGAGCCCTGATATGAGTTGAGCTGGCGCGCCTTCCAGCGACGAACGGAGGTAATTCTCGCGCCCCTCCATCCCGCAGCCTTGCTCCAGTGGCCCAGTTGGTCGTTCCGGCAGCGCGGACGAGCCGTCAGTCACTCTCCCTGTCGTTCGATTATCGTGGGCTCGGCCGAATCGATAGGGCGATCGCCAGAAGTGATTACAAGTAATCACTTCTGGCGATCATTTTGTAATTACAAGTAATTACAAAACGATAATTCGGTAAGGGTTGCGATGAAATTTAAAAGCAGGGTGTCCGTATTCTATAACACTGCGGATCACCGCTCTGTATATTTGAAATAATAGTCTGGGATGGGGTCCCACCAGGTTCCTGCAAGGGAGGAGAGGATATTAACGAGAGTACGAACTTTTCGAATCATGGCATCAATCTGCGGGGAAGCACGTGCTTTCTTGTCTAGCAGGACTCCAAGGAGTTGATGGTGTCGGACAAAACAGTAAAGTTTTGTTGAAGACTGACTGCTTGTTGTTTAAGCTCGGCAGTCATGCGAGGATTTTGAAGCGTTATATCCTCAGTGATCGGGTCAGCGAATGATCTCAATGCGTCAGACTCATCAAATTGAACTTGAGCCTGCGCGAGGGTCACACGATATAATTGGTGAGCATCGCAATTTCGAACAGCCTTGGGACACTGAACAGCAGCTTCCTCCATGCCTTCATTAACAAGAAAACCCAATCCACGAGTGGTGACAGGAACTACAACCTCTTGTCTCTGAGATACGATGTTCATTTCAGCAAGACAAGACAATAATGTATCAAGCGAAACTGAGGTACGCTCAGTAGCCTGTCGGTGGATTTCAGCCATGGTCTCTATGCTCTTACTAAGTCGGAACTTTTCTAAGCGTTTCTTCGACGATGGTTTGGGTCCTTTACGTTTCATCGTCTTAGCCTCTGGAACAACCGGAACGGTTGATGGAGCGGTTTCAGATGCAGAATCCATTGCTAAGACGGTAAGAATTGGCATTCTTTAACTCTAGGAATGTTTATTCTATTGAGAGACAAGGAGAATGTGGAGGATCGAATGCGCTGGTTTTTGCTAAATATGATATATTTAGACTTACAATTAGTGGGTTCGAGTTCTAGGCCCTTGGGGAGGAGGGCAGAGTGTAGCTTATTAATCGTATTAACAGAAGAGATTGATTTGTTAATATTTGAGTGGTAACTTATATATTACGGTAACTTATATATTACCTTAATAGTGATAAGACAAAGCAAAATAATAATAACAATACACACTACGTATAACAAATTACTATGGCTAACATGAATTATATCATTTAAGACATTATCGCCGTCATTATTATAAATGTGGTGAGTGTCTACATAATAAGCCATGTTATTAGTGAAAGTTTTGTCAGATACATTATTACATTTATCATCTTCTGATATTCCAATATAATTGAATGATCCATCACAAGGCAATGTAATATTTTCTAATTTGCATGGATTTTGAATAGTAGTAAACAATCCTCTAATGTTAGAGGTTGCCACAACTTTAAGATACAAACCAGTTCCATGGCTTCCCCATAATTCAATCTCCTTTACAGCACATATTGGATTGCTAACAACATTATTCATCAAGCAATTAGAACTAATTCTTATCT